CATTAATCATTGCTGTTAAAAGTCACGAACACAAAAATGTTTCGCTGTTTTTGATAAACATGTATTATATAATAATTACTGTTAAGAAATACATTAAAAAAAAAAAAAGAGTAAATTGTGGAAAAAATGCATTCTATGTATATCATATGTACTAGATATACAGTTAAAAAATAGGTACTACATCGAGTTCCCGTGGGCAGAGACTAAACGCTCTACACAATCGTATTCTCTACAAGACCACAATATATCTACCAAGTTACCAATTTTTGCATTTTTTGTGTTAGCTTGCTTCCAATCGAGAAATATTTGATAGATTACCTAAAAATAAAATCATCGATATAAAAATTTGTAATGTAATTAAGAGTAATACTAACAAAACATAGTATTATATCCGAATTTACTTCGCTTATGCCTTTGAATCTATAATTTTCTTCGAATTGGTCGATTTGACCATCTGCATATAATAGCTTTCTAACAACATCTTTCCAACCGCGTCCAATGTAAGTTTTAATAACAAATATATCGTCTAAAGTAATCTCATCGGTGCAAGCACATAATCGTTGTACTTCCACTGGCATTTGTCGAATCTTCGATTTCGATTTCAACCATGATTCTTCTGTCGTTTCAGCGTTATTCTTGTCAAATTGATTAATATTGCAGATGTAACTAGTCCTTGCGCCAATTTTCACACCATTCGAATTAATTATATTGTAATTCACAACATGTGTCCCTTGGGCTGGAAAATAGATTCGATAAATCTTACTCTTTTTACCAAACGAAGGATCGAAATTGTAACTAAAACTTACAACTTTTATACTGCTTTGACTTCGCTTTCGTTCGAACATTTGGTTTCTTCTGTTGTTTCGCTTCATTCGCGGACGTTTTTCCATCGTCCACATCGTTTTCTACTCTAGTGGAATGATCAGCATTCGTGGGCAGTGTGTCGTTTAAGACGGATTTCTCTCTTTCAGTCGTAGGGGCAGATACGAATTCTGTTTTCTTCGTTTTTTCATTTACTGCACTTGGTTCTAAATTGTGCGTATATCCTTTGATCGGTAGCCGTGGTGGATCAGGTTTCGCATCGGTTGTTAACAGATGAAATCGACGAGATAAATCCGAAAGTATCGGCATTTTCACGCAAAATTGATACACCGTTTAAAAAGAATATTCTTTCGTGTTATCCTTTTCTTTGTTCTAAAATATCGTTATCGTATATTTTCACATCTGCTAAATTCTTACATTTTTTAACAAAATCAGCAAAATAGTAAATATATGTATACATATGTACATTGGAAAATGATTCGGTGAAAACAACTGAAAGACAGAAGTGTGGTTGTGACTAATTACATTACATTATTGACATTTTTACTGCATACTCTCCTAACTTTTATAATCATATATAAATCTCAATGAGAGAAAATGTTGACCTTATTTCGATTTGAATATCAAATATTCAGCAATACTTTTTTCGCCCATCGTATATTCACATTTTAACTGTCTTTTTCATAGATACATATACTGTAGCTGTCGTCGTCGTCGTCGCTGATTGTATCACAATAATGTTTCCTAAGGATTTTACTTTCAACGAAATTGCAAATTCAGCATATCATGCTGTATCGAAAAAATCTAGAATAGAAAAATTTATAAAAATAATGGAAGAAAGAAATAGAAAATAGACTCTAGCGCAACTAAAAACGCTATCCGTATGAACTCGATCTTTAATGACCTCGAGATGATCTGGGTTTTCCGCAAGTGAAACCGGTTTTTCATTTACTGCAACGATATCGCAAGTAACAATAAGCTAATTGCACATAGAACAGCTACATTTTAAATACGCAAACATTTTCATCGATCATTATTTCCACTGTTTATAATCTTCTAATTTATACAAAATTTGAATATAAAAGATTTACGTATAGGATAAATCATCGACACACACGCGCGCGCACGCACAACGCATTTAAGAAACATGCTTTGTATTTCGAGCAATGGAGTAACACTTGGTTGCTTTGTTGCTCGATTAATACTTCTAAATTGTATGCTTGACATCGTAGTAGCTGTTCTTTTTTTCCGATTATGATGCATTTAAATAGTATAAAGTATTTCGAAGTAAAATATTTACACCTTGAATAAACTTTTTGGTATAATATTCAGCTCTAAAGAAATTTAGAATCACTGTCTTTATAATACCATGTAAAAAGTGCACCTTTCCTTTAAAAAAAAGTTACACACGTTCGTTTGTATACATAATAATATTGTTTGAACTGAAAATTATTCAACGAACACAGAGTATCACTTCAACATTAACCTCTCGACTGTCACGACTCGATAAGAGTTCACTTTGCTTGCGACAAATGAATTGTCAGGATATGACGTATTACAACGCATTTTACACGGAAACAATCAAAGTAATCACTGTAGCTTGAAATATATCGATACTCTATGTATTTTCAATCACGTAAAATTTAAAACAGTTGATTTTAGTTTTAAAATAAGTAAAATAAAGTACCTTTACTCTCTAACAATCTATGGCAGTTAGAGTAATTGTGGTGTATTCTTTATAATCGGAAAACAATATAAATTACACAATAATACAATTTTCGTTTAAAATTGTTTCGTTTTTCTTGTAAACCCTCAAAAATATGAATCATACAGATATCTTAAAAGATTATGCATTATCTCGATACACTATGGAAAGATTAAAAGTAATTAAAGAAAAATTAAACGAAGATTTAATTAAGGCCGATTCCTTATGGCAAATTATAACTGGAAAGGTTAGTACTATCAACAAACATAATCTTTAATGTAAATAATATCGAAACGTATGATGTATTATTTAGGAGGAAGAAACACAGATAAATATGGAAGATACTTTGAATGAAAGCAACAAAGATTGTTATGATATTTTATTTAAGACAGCAGATCAGTTTTCATCTACTCAATTTTATTTTACACAACTTGACAAGCACTTTAACAAAGATACTAAGCAGGAACATGTACCAAATCTTGATATCACAGAATGTCTTTATGAGGGTTTAGAAAGTTCTAATGGAAAATTAGATGTACATCATTTAGAAAATTTAACAGACACAGAACTTGTGGAAGTAGTCTGTAATTTGGAAAAAAAATTAAGTATACTGGGTGTATATAATCTGTGTTGTTCCATGAATAATATGACTTTGGAACAACGAATTAAGTATGCAGCAATTTTTCATAGTTACTTATTATTGCCAAAGGTGATACTTAATTGGTTTGATACATTAACTATTAATTTATAAACAACTAATAATTCATGAGTATTGTTACAGATTATTGCCTTAGAAGAGCCTTCCAGATTGCTTTTATCTGTTGTTACAGAATGTGCTCTCAAATTTCCAGATGATATTCAGAAATTAATATTTGTACCTCTCTTAAATGTTGACTTAAATGATACAACAATTATCAATGCTATAGTAAATGCTTTTGAACCTAAAAGACGTATTGTCCTGATTGTGTAAGTATTATTATTATTATTTATTTCATTGATTGATGGACTAATTAAATTCAAAGTGTTAATTAATTTTTGCCATTTTTATAGGGATTATTTATCAAATGTGAAAGATCTGAAATCATGGCATCTTTCATTTTTATATAATTTAATTTCTGTTAAAACAGATATTGCCACAAATGATAAAATTATAGAATTGTTATATGCAAAAGCACTTGACTTTGCCAAGGATAAAAACTTTGGCAAACTCGTATTATCGTTTATAAAACTAAATATTAATTTTTCAGAGGAACAAAAATGTTTATTAGGGGAAATAGCTAATACGAATGAGACGTTTTTTAAAAGACCTATACAAAATATATTAAAAGCTATGTAGCTTATACAACTACTTGTACAAGAATAGTACGATATTATAAAATTGTTTGATATGTATAAAAAACTTTATTTTCCATAAAACAAATTGAAAGATATTGGTTTATACCACCTACTATAGACTGCACCACTGAATAAACTCACTGTGGTCACTAATAACCTCAGAAGGTGCATGGAACCTTAATCACCCCCCCCCCCAAAAAAAAAAAAAAAAAGTATATTTTCTTCTTTCGAATTTATGATTAAATGTGAGAGATGTAGTGAATATAACGCATGCGCGTAGTAGAATTGAAATTACATACGTATCTATATTCACACGTATGTATATAGACTTTTGTGATGTAAACATGACCGAAGAACTTTCCGGTGTAACGATAGTGATATTTATTGCAGCAGGAGTATTAACGATATTATTATTGTTCATATTTGCAAAACGACAAATTATGCGATTTGCGTTGCGATCTCGTCGTGGACCACATATTCCTATTGGACACGATGCACGAAAGGTAGGAGTGATTACAAAGGTTAAGTTGCTTATGCATACATACATATATTGCTGTATTTTTCGCTCCTTAAATAATAGCAAATAAATAACGCTTGCTTTAAGCTAAAAATTAGTTAAGAGATTTATTAATTGAGCATGTTTATAATTTTAAACGGCATGTACTATGCGTTGCTGAGAAGACGACGAGCGGAAAGAATGTTTATTATTGGCCGAAACGGCCACGTCTACTATTCCATCGTGTGAATGACTATCCGCCTCGTGCCGTCCTGCTCGTCATCTTCTCAGCAATGCATGGTATGTACAATATACATATGTATTTATATACGTTATGTACATGTGCATACATACACACATATTTATGTATTGCGCTTTTTTTCAATTGTTCAAGTCACTTAAAAAGGAAATTGAAAGGCGAATAGAAGTAATACCAAGAATACAGTATGATCCACAACTTATCAGTGATTCAAGATTTATTTTAACGCCTCGAGGACAAGTCCCACCGCCACATTATTATAGGTTAAAAGCAGTAGATGATATTAAAATTTTAGGTAATGAAATTCACAGATTTATTATAAAGAGTGAAATGAATGTAAACGCAAAATTCACTGCTATCATTTCGTACAGAAGCTGAAATTACTAAATACGACAATTGTCTAAAAAGACATCCATCCGAAAATTTACGAGCATATTTACTTGCCACATTGGCTGCTCCATTAAATGGAAGTGGACAACGGTTAATTCATCAATTTTGCGATTTATATGAACACGCGCGACACGATCCGACCGAGTTCGGAGATGAAGAATACCAAGTATATACTCATTTGTTTCTTAAACTAATGGATGCGTAAGTATTATTCTTTTAAACTGTGAAAGAAGTTTAAAATTCAAGCGTACGTTTTTTAGCATGTTGTACACAGTACAACAGATGAAGTGTTATTTTTGAATGTCTACATAGGGCTCGTTTGTTAAAATCGTATCCGAGCAGTAGAAAATCTAGTCCAAGTCGCACACCTATTAAGAAAAATGTTGAAACGAAACGGAATATATTAGAACCTAAAATGAAATTACCCGAGGATCAAGTATTGACAGGATCACGACCCAATACGTTAACAGTGATGACAATGGATAATAGCGAAACATCTGTTTAGCATTATGAAAGTCGTCACATACAGCAGCACATGTGACGAGATGCGCGTTCATAGTTATTGTCACTCCCTGTGTCATGTGGAACTGCAAGTAAGTGATAGACGAATCTTAATTATTTTCAACTGTATTTGCCGCAAATATGTTTTTGCTTTTAATTTCATGTATTAAATTTGCAGTTAACACGACCACATACTTTTTGCGAAGTTGTTTCTATCTAATATATACAGATTTTACGATCAAATGTCGATATCAGTCTTGATCGATAAATATTTAGTCCACACAGATTTATAGTGTGGATTATGTCTCAAATGTATTAAAGATCGATGAAACGTGGATTTATATGTACTAGGAACAGTACTTGTTCTTATGCAATTTAAACATTCCATCAGCTGAAAGGTATATAAAAGGTTATTAATCCATCACGCGATCAGATCACATATAAATAAAAGTGTAATTCTAAATACCTGTGGAATTGCGTGTTTCCAATCCTGTCTATCAGAAAGAAGCGTTAGAGCTTGAGGAAATAATTTTAATCGGACACTCTGCGATTTAATTAATAAATCTCGTTTCATTAACAGAGAATCTATGCCGGATAAACTAACGACAGAGACAAATAAAACATCACAATAAAATTGTACTTTCTTATTAGAATCTTGTGACGATTCCAACAAAAGTCCATAAACCTGTGCGATAAGGTCTAGAATAGAATTTGAACTGCATTCTTCGAATTGCATTTTAGTCTGCACTCTTTGTACGGTTTCGAGGAAATACGTTTGCACGCTTGAATGAAAAATATAAAAACGCATGGATATTTATTCGCATAAGGTGTCTATCACTCTATCGAGAATTTTACCTGGATGTAGAGGCTGCTACTTCATCGATGGTCTCGTTCAACCACATTAACGAGGAAACAGAACTGGGCTTGTTCAATGCCAATTCAGCTCTGATCGCAATAGCATTCTTTAATTTGGTAGTCGTTATTACCCACCATAGTTTAGGGGATGTCATTCTTTCTAAATGGTTCGTTGATAATTCCAAAGCTGCAGTAAAATAGGGTTGAAAGCGATCGCACGTTAAATCTATTTTATTGAAAAGATCTTCCAAAATGGTGGAAAGTAAGGTAGTGTTAGCATCGCACGTTTCTTGTTTTTTCAATGCTTGACCATACGACGACATGATACAGTGGAACATAGATTTTGTCGAATCCTTATCGTCGAAATTTACTTTTTCGATTACATATTCTAACGTAGTTTCCAAGAACGGTTTAATGTTATTTGGTTGTAAAGCTTGACACAGGTCTTGGAGATTCGTATAGAGTACAGGGTGTTCATTGGTTTTCCATATAAATTCGGAATTATCGATAGATTTATACATCGATAGATAATTCTCTATGAAAGACTTGGCAGATAGAGATATTGTCGCGTGATGACACGCGATAGCAAGAGTATATTTTTTCGCCTCGGCCGATATCTCCTCAAGTGTATTCTTAAGAAAATCCCAATTTACATTGGGTAACGGTTTTGGATATCTATGGGCAAATATTCGCAAACATTCGGTAATAATACGGTGATTGTTCGGATCAGATTTGTTCGCTCGCCTCAAATATTCACCGACAGCTCTGATTACGCTTTTCTCTGGTAAATATTTAAAGTTTTGCGGTTCCCTCTGGGGCCAGACATAAACGCCAGATCGGAAGCTATTCACTTCTTCGGTGATGAAAGAAATTAAAAGATTGCCGGCTGCTGATAACGCCGCTTTATTTATATTTTCAAGCATTTGAATCCAACAAATACCAGGTACGTATGGAAGTACATCCTCTGGCAGTCTAGCTGCATCGATCGGAGTTTTCGCGTACGCTGCAGGCAATGCGAGGTTCCGTCTAAATTCGGGTGGCAATGTTTTCAAAGAAATCTGTTCTAGACGATAGGAAGCTAGAGCTTTAAGCGCAGCCTCGACAACTTTTACATCGTTACACGTTGCGGCGTACTTCCACAGGTTCGATATTACGTTATCGATCAATTGATCATACTCTTCCATACATTGAGAGGGTGGACAGGATGCAATATCTGCAAATAATTCGCAAAGACTTTCTAAAACAACAGCACGCTTCTCCTTTTCCATTTTTGGAGCTAGCACTCTCCATGTCGAACAAACGTCTATCACGGATGCTTTGCAAAGGGCAGAGATGCATCGGAGCGCGAGACTGCTTGCGACCCCACCATTCGTATCCGTCGAACGATTTAACGTCTGCGATAACAACGGCACAAGCTTTTCTCCGTGTTCAGGATAATTTTCACATATATATTTCATAGCTCTTGCACAAGTTGCGTCTGAATACCAGGAGAAATCGCTTTTCATTAGTCGAATTATTGCCGCGGAAAGAAATCTGTAACATCTTGGTTCTCTATTGAACGCTTTCAAATACAATTCGATCGTAAAATATTTCAATTGCTTATCACCGTTTAACAGCGTATCCAAGATAAGGTTAATGATCGGAACATTTTCTTTCGTGTTGACAAGCTCTGGTATAACGAGCAGTAAACATTTCGATTCTGCGTTGCTTCGAGATTTCGTTAATTTATGCAATACCAACGGCAATACGTGCGAGGCAAAACTTTTACTTTCTTTACTCACATCAACGAGTATGTTGCTGCACAGTTCGGTTACTCGAGGCTCGGTTGTTTGTAAAAAGAGGCCAGAAATCAGCAGTTTACATTTGTCCTTCAAGTGAATAGGTAACAGGGACATGTTCTTCAGCCAGGATAATATATCGTTCGGTTTCCAGATGTCGAAGCACTGCACAAGTTCATTGTGAAATTCAATATACGAATCGGAATGAGTGAAGAGTGTAAAAAGTCGATTTGAAGATGTCGTCGATGTCGTCTCGTCGTTACCCGTCGATTTTCCTTTGTCAAATATTTTACTATTCAATAAATCTTTCGCCATGTCTAACGCGTCGGAACATAATATGGATGGATATGCCATCCACTTTAAGATAGATGCTATTAAACTGTTGAAAAATATATCGTTACAAGACATTTTCTTCGTTATCATCGTACCTGTAGCAGAACAAGATTAAACAAACGTTAGAAGAGCAGTGTTGAATTTGAAGGACTGGGTTTTCACCATATTTAAGGTAGCTACTCACATATTTGCAAAGCACTGTACAAATAAATAGCTGGACATAAAACAACTACTTCTGCCATTAATATTAACATAAGGTTTCCTATACAACTATCACAATGATCTATGGTAACAAATATAGTATCAAAATTTGGTCTTGGATCAGAGCCTTGTTTTAGTAATTGTACAGTTAAGGATGCAATCATCGGCAACAATGCTGTACAGTATTCTCTGTTTCTTTCCAGCAAAGCTTTTCCTGCAAGTTCTAAAATTTGATAGTTTGCATTCGTGCAATTCTGGCTTCCAGTTGTACATAGCCAAAATAAACTTTCTGTTTGCACATGTATACCATGTTTGGATTTAATCAACAGTTGCCAAACTTTTTGCATACAGTAATCGGTTGAATCCAAAGAAGGATTACACAGAATATATAAAAATACGGGACGTAACATTTCTATACCGTTTTCTTGAATTCTGAAATATCGAAAGTTGTAAGTTTCTACATATATGCATGCATATGCATAAAGAGATATGTGCAAATTGCAGGGAGCGCTCGCGCGTGCGTGCGTATATACATCTGCATACATACTGGGGATCCTGATGATTGACAACAAATGACATTTCATTCAATACAGTTTGCCAGCTAAATTTGTCCTTAGTTAAAATAACGATAAATGGGTGCTGTGGTACATGCAGCGTAAATGGATATATAGTTTTACTTCCTGTGTCACATTTTAAATCCAATATTAACAAGCGATTTATAGTTGTAGCAGCAACTGTGTAATTCCTAAAATTTACGATACGCGTATGATATTGTAGAGAAAAAATATAAAGGATATGATAAGTTAAATTGACATGTATACTTAATAGAGGAAAGACTCGACGTGAAAGTAGACAACGCTTCGTTAATGTCCCATAATCCATTCTCGACTAGAGCACTTAGGGCTTGACAGGCCGTTATACTAAGTGTGACATCCGTACTGTCCCGCTTCGTTAATAATAACTTAAATTCGGCTATCTATTTGTGTAACGGACGTATAAATGAAAAATGATTGTACGCTAATCGAACGAATGATATTTGTTTTACCTTTGAAATATGATTCGTTTGTTGGTCACACTTCTTTTTCTTAATAGTGTCGAAAAGTTTGGATATTGCCTGTAGAAAAGTATGTATATCGCAAAAAAATGTGGCGTGTGATAGATGGTGGATTGCATGAAAATAAAAGAACTTACGTGCGATATTAAAACAGGATTTTTCGATCCCAACTTATACTCTATTTCGTCCATTTCGTAAAAGAAATGTTATCAGATTTGTTCGTGTATTACGTATATTAGTTGCACGCGTTCTTCTTCGTTAAAACTTGCGAATAAAATCACATTTCACTAGGTTTAGAATATTACCGTCGCAGTACTATTAATATCTCAACGGTATAAAAGAATTTGTGATGACAGAGGTTATGAAACATAACCTTCCGTCGTTAAAACATATTCTTTTTCATCACGACACACTGTCAGTACTACATTTTACTCGTCACCTATCGTAAAGAATATGAAAATAAGAGTAACGTGTCTGTACGAGGATCATACGTATCGAGAAAAATGTGAAGAGGTTACGGTTTCCTCTTAACCGACTACAGAAGGCAAGTGTCGTGTGCCGAAAACGTATGTATAGTATTGCTATTCATTCAGTTGGAACTTGTCTGAAATTAAATTGATCGTTAGATCGAATTTTGAACAAATGAAGTTGTAGAAATATTACTGCATAATAAGCAAAAAATATGAAGTGTTAAGAGAAGGAAGGAAGGAAGAAACGTTAAAGAAAAATTGAGGGTGTATAATATAGCGGACGGTGGTAGGGGCGGGGGAGAGTAAAAAGGCGCGAACGCGTGAAAGGATAGCTGGTAGCGATCGAGGGTACGGTGTAGTGAGATTTTTCAATATATTTATTCGTATGGACAAGTTGGAGCATAGTGCACAATATATTTAATATATAGTAGTCTGAGGAAGGGGTCAGAGTACATTCTGGAGTTTGAACACAATATCTTACAATTTAACGACAAGATGCTTGCATTTCTGTATTTGCTTCTGTACGTACTGTTACTCGTATATTCATATATTCGAAGTGTATAATATATAAAGCGTAACGACTCACTATTTATTTATTTATCATTCTAAAAAAAAAGGAGACGAGAATACGGGTCCTTGTTTATTACATTACGTTATACTATTTCAGTCCGTCTTATGTTGTCATTTAATTTACTCGATCGAGGATTTTCGCAATGGATTATGCAACATCGTGGCAAATACGTAATAGTCGCTAAAGTATATCCTTAGTCGGAGATTGTCCCCAATTGTTAATTACGTACGCGAGGAGGCGGGAAGAAGCTGGCGAAACGAAAGCGGGATAACAATTTTGATTGAAACGATATCGTTCGTTTATATGTAGGTACGTGGTAAATGTATTAGATTATTGCTTGGCAAAAGAAGGTTCTCCGCTCGTACAGTGTACGAATAGACAAGACGGGACGACGATCCATTCCCCCTTCGCCTTTCGCCATTCCCCTCTCGTCTCTGCGAGAAGGACAAATTGCGAATAAACGTATGGTATTTGACGATTGGAGACAACTCTTATTTTTCTCGCGTGATTAGCGGTTAACGATCTATATTAAATTTTTGTTTAAAAGCAAATACACTTTACAGCCTATACAATTCATTCAAGTTCCCTCTTACCATCCCTTTTCTTTCTGCGTCCTTCTTTCTTTTCCCCCATCTCTCTCATTTAATTCTCCTCGTTCAATATTCTCTATTCGAATTTACGCTTGTGGAGAGCGCAGGGCAGGTCCAGGTACTTAGGCTATCTGTATATTTTCATAAAAATTCGTCAAGATCTTCTTACTCTGATTCGCGTCTCGCTCTTCTCTGTTTTTTTCTTTTTATTTTTTATAAAAATCACAGCACAGCACCAGCATTTTTTTCTTTAAAGCCCGCCCAATTCTCCTTCGAACGCGCCTCATTAAAACTGAGACGGCGACGGCGACGGCGACGGCGACGGCGACGACGATTCCCCGCGCATTTCTCCCTCATACACACCCGCTTTCTCTCTCTCTCATTTGCTCACTCTCATTCGCCCTTGTTCTCTGCCTCTCTCTTCCTCTTCCTCTTCCTCTTCTCACCGTTAAACGAGTATCGCCGTTTGTTATGATCGAATTAAAAAACACGCCTTGCTCTCTTTTCTTTTATTTGGCATTTGCAACACTACGCACGGCACGATAAAACTATTTTCGGATTCTTGGCAACGCGTTTTACCAATCGTTCGTACAACACTTTTATCTCTTACGTCTTCGATACAATAATAAAATAATGGAACCGATAATTACTCGTGAACAATCGTAATAAAAGATACAATAATAATCGTTACAGAACTAACGCTTAGATAGTCGTCAGGATACGATGCGCGTACGTATACCTAAGAACTTTCTCCCTTTCACATTAATTAGTCTTGTCCGTTTTGCTGCGTTTGCTCCTTTGACATTCGATCTCCCCCAAAACACATACGCACGCACATACGCATACGCAACGCTTTCTTATTCTACCGTATTCGCGGAACGCTTCAACTACAATCGTTATTTTTTAGTAAACAAATAGCATTCTAGCGTATTCAATGTACAATTCATTTACCATCACGTTATCGTTATCGTTATTTAGAATCGTAATTGTTTTCGTTCGTGCCAATACTCTGATACGCAACACGTGTCACGTCGTACACGTTCGATAATATCGCAACCGACGTGCACACACACTTTTATCAATCGATAGGTAATCAAATCGTCTAAGAGTCGCGTTGCTCGCGAGTCGTGCAATTTCTCTAGAAAAATGTCGAGTCTGTGTGGTTCAGCAATTTCCTTCTTTTTACAATAAAATACAACGATCTATTATAATTTCACCGTTATACACAACGATGCTCTCGATGGAACATTCGCACGCGTTATACACAACGAGTTTTACGGAAAACGCACGATGCGCGCGCACACACACACTCACACACGCACGCACGCACACGCAGGAAAGTTCTGACTTTCCGTTCACACATTCGCATCTCTCTCTCTGTTTTTCTACGTTTCTACGTGCAATAAAAATGCTGTCTCGACGCGAACTCGACTCTCTCGTGAGGCACACGCTCTCGCATCGGAGAAAAATCGGGCAGAATCGACTGGCGGTACGGCTGTAGGAGTTATCACGTCTATTCGTACTCGTGGGCACGAGCGATTCTACGAGCATTATCGCCACAGTCAGTCTAAACCAACGAGATCTTTAATCGCGCGTGCTTTTTTCACGATCGTTATTTCACTGCAATTCGTTCGCAGCAACTGAATTTCGTTTTAAGTATTCCAAGCCGAATTTCCGCGAGCTGCTTCGAGTCACCAGCTCGACGCGTCGAACCATCGCGAATAGTTCTTTCCACGGAACACACATTGCTATCGTTGTGGACGAATACATCGATGGTACGTCGGTCGCGCAAACTTTTATCTCGCTTGAATACTGATCTTACCGTAACTGTCATCTGTATCGTCATCGTCACTGTCGCCGTCGCCGTCGTGTATTTATCGATAGGCTTGTACCGTCATTTTCAACGTGGAGTATCGAGGAAACGATTAGCAGAGATTAGCGTTTCTACAAATTGCTCCGCTTTTCAATTCAAATGGAAGAATAGGAGTTGATCTTTCCTGGAGATATTTCACTCGAATTTCACATATGTTTCTTTTAGTTTTGTGCGTAAAATTTGTCGCAAGATTTGTTTATTTTCACAAAGATTGATTTTCTTTTTCTTCAAATTTTCTTTCCCCCTTTTCTTTCGTTTGCACCACGAGCGAAAGTCTCTGGAAACATAACACGTGTCACTGCGATAAACCGAAAAGGTGCGTGTTAGGTAGGCGTATCGAAAGAACGGATAACACAAGCAAGTGCACGCGTAAAAAGAACGCTGTAATCTCGACAGCCTGTCGTCCTTTCGGTTTTCGATTGGTTTTAGAGCTGTGTGCTTTCTCCGTCCGATTTGTACGGCGTATTCGGAGGGAGAAGAACAGGATAGATCGGGTCGGCGCGTCGTCGACAAATGCGCTCCTCTCTCGGAGCACGAGGCACATATGGAATGAAACGCGGAATCGGTGGTCCGAGAGGCGTGCGCGTTTTCACACGTGACGACGAAGCGAAGAGGAGGTGGTGGTGGTGGCGGTGGCGGTGATGGTCTACCGTCACGGTAGACACGTTGCAATCGACGTCGACGGCAGATAGGCAGATAGGCTGGCGGTGGTGGTGGTGGTGTTGCTGGCGAGTTGGCAAGCCGACGCAGGTACAGTTGATAGAGACTTACACGGAGCGTGGCCGCGCGGTTAACGAAGAAGAGGTAGCAGGCTCGAATTAGCGTAATTGCCGAGGTGATCCTAAGGTTGCCTGCCAGCGGTGGCAGAGTGCGGATGTCCCGTGGCGGTCGCACCGCTGACTGGCGGTGGATGATGAGGCGTGTGGTGAGTTTGTGCGGAAGTGGGTCCGGTCGTTCCGGCAGCTAGTACGGGACCGGGGGCCGCGGGTCACTTGGGCGGGAATGGCGAGATCACCGATGCGGCTACCGCGGCGGCCTGCTGACTCGCCAGCATTGCCGCTGCAACACACACACACAGACACCGGGGACCATTAATTGCTTTCCTCCGAGAAAATCTCCGGTTCCTAGAGCAAGCTAGCGTACTTACGTCCGTCACCCGAATCGAATCCGCGCCTTTTCTCGCCCCTCACACACCTTCCCCTTTTCTCGCGCGCTCGCACTCACTCTCTCTGTATCTTTCTCTTTTCGTCGCATCCATTCTCTCTCTCTCTCTCTCTCTCTCTCTCTCTCTCTCTCTCTCTCTCTCTCTCCTTTACGTATTCGTAGGCGATCCTAGACTACCGTAACACAACATTATTTTCGACGATTTCGCGCCACTCCACAGCCCAAGTATAGCGCAGCGACGAGCGAGCAATCGCCGAAGATTAATGCGACGGGAGAACGAATACCAGAGAGCCGAGGTATGTACACGGAGATCGAAACTGCTTTCAACAGGAAAAGAGAGTAACGGTGAAAGAGAACGAGAGGAGGATGCAAGAGAGGAGGAAGACGAATCGTAGCGTTGCACCAACGCGACCGACGAACCCTTTCGTCAATCCGTGTGTCCTAATCGCTTCCTCGATCGCCACAGTCGCTCGAGAAACGCTATCACCGCGAACGTCGTTACACGTTCTTTATCCACTTTGATCGAACAAGTAGGAAAAGAGAAAGAGAAAAAAGGCAAGACAGAATAGGATGCTATGGGATGCATCAATAGCGGCGTTACATTGCAAGATCGGGTGACGAAAAAGCGACGATGGTGGAATAGCTTTCTCGCGATTCGTTGTCCACACGTGGCG